ATAGTGCTGACAAACCTAGAAACATAATCGGAGCGAACCGGGATTTGAACCCACAATCATAGGTTTCTGGCGTTTCCAAGGGACGCAACTCTGCACAGCGAATCGCGGTGCCTCAGATGACTGGGCCACCCGTGGGCCCCTAACACTAGGGAGAGGGATTTTCTGACTGCCAAGTGTTTACATTTACAACCAAAGCTGGGGGGCAGTGTTTTCTCTGGCTTAAAAACCATAATAAGAGTTTAATTTTTTTTTTAAAAATCCAATTTTTATTTGGTGCGTTATAACAAGACAATTGTAAAGCCTGTTCATGTATAGAACTGTTGGGGAAAGCAGTCACTAAACGAGAATTTTGTTCTCGCAGTGTGGTTTTAAACCACATGGTTGGTTAGAGAGACTCACTACCATACTAGGTCGTCACGAGCATGATGATGAAAATAAGTGAAACCTCCCAAGAGGATATTAGGAGATAGGAAAATACCTACAATACAACAGGCATTAGGTTCATAAATTTGGGAGATAACAGGACTCAATGTTGGTTTGTTGTTTAACGCCGCACTCAGCAATATTCCAGCTATATGACGGCGGTCTGTAAATAATCGAGTCTCGACCAGACAATCCAGTGATTAATATCATGAGCATCGATCCACGCAATTGGGATCGATGACATGCATCAATTTAGTCGCCTTTTACGACAAGCATAGTCGCCATTTACGGCAAGTGTGATCAATAGATGGCAAAGAGGGTAATCTGTATATAATAGTCTCAAATTAGAGCTGGCCCGGTGGACTAGCCAGTTTTTAACATGTTTAAAGTTACTAGTCTTTTTGTTTGTTTGTTTGTTTGTTCATAAACGCCGCACTCAGCAATATTCCAGCTATATGACAATCTGTAAATAATCAACTCTGGACAAGACAATCCAGTGATTAATATCATGAGCATCAATCCGCTCAATTGGAATAAGTGAGTGAGTATGGTTTTACGCCGCTTTTAGCAATATTCCAGCAATATCACAGCGGGGTCTTCGTCGTGATGAGCGAACGCTTTAACCACTAGGCTACCCAACGACCCCCCAATTGGAATAAAATGCCATGCATCAACCAAGTCAGCGAGCATGACCACCTGATCCCGTTAGTCGCCTATTACGGCAAGCATGGGTTGCTGATGACCAATTCTACACGTGGAGATAACAGAACTTGATGTGATGAATGGATGGCACAGAAGGCATTCTGTATATAATAGTCTCAAATTAGTTTATTTATTACAATGAATACAACATTTTGGTGTCGATCCTAACAACTTTATCAAGCAAGTGATGAAAACTAATTCAGGATTTGCTTGCTTGATAACGGTGTCAGTTTCTACACCGAAATGTCACATTCATTGCAATAAAGAAACTGACATCCATAGAACTGTCTCCCTTGGTACGCAACCAAATCCAAAAAAGGCCATGATATGAAAGGAATTCAGGATAATTATCAAAATAGGTTGGCGATATCATACACTGGACACGGCCACACATTGTTTTGCCCATTTAATGGTTTACAAATTTCTGCTACCAGTTTGCTTGGGCCAATCGAAATAATAACAAAAAATTTTACAGCATGAGTGAGTATGTTTTTACCCGCTTTTTGGCAATATTCCAGCAATATCACAGCGGGGGACACCAGAAATGGGCTTCACTCTCTGTACCCATGTCAGGAATCGAGCCAGGGTCTTCGACGTGACGGGCGACCGCTTTAACCACTAGGCTTCCTGACTGCCCTTAATAAACATGAAAGGGTTTTTTTGTCATTGGCAAGTATTTAGATTTGTCGGTTAGAGGGGAAAAAACAAATGCTCATACTGTCTATTGTGTGGGGTGCTTAGTATGTTAACAGTAACCATGGTAATGGCCGGGTATATATTTTTACACCTGAGAAGGTCTTTATGGGTATATATAGACCCCATTGGTATAATCCAACTAGTCCGCATCTCATTTCGGACTACTGGTTCATGTTAAATAGGTCAATTTGGGGAGAAATGCACTTGTCCTGAAAGATTGTCTCTTGCCCAAGACTAAGGGGCATGTCCATCCCTGGCCTTGATCTGTTAGGAGTGAGTGAGTGAGTGAGTATGGTTTTACACCGCCTTTAGGAATATTCCAGCAATATCACGACAGGGGACACCAGAAATGGGCTTCACACATTGTACCCATGTCGGGAATCAAACCTGTGTCTTTGGCGTGACGAGCAAACGCTTTAACCACTAGGCTACCCGACCGCCCCTGATCTGTTAGAAAGAGGTTACTTTTATTTTATATGATTACAACAGTGGTATCTTTCTAATTTGTCAAATTGATAAAAAATGGGACAGTCAGACATATACGAATAAAGTTTAGCTATATTATTTCATATTCTGATGGAGATATTACCGATTACTCAAAAATACATAATGATTTGCCTACATGACATGAATTAGAAGTCAAATCTGGATAATACTAAGGCTGATTACAGGACAAATCAGGATTCAAACATGTCAGCTTATCCTGACACAGAAAAGGGAGGTAACTGTGAGCAGCTTAGACCATGTAAACTGCATAGCCAGCATTACTGTAGCAAATCCACAGTTAGTCTGTAGCACAGTTAGTCTGCAGGGAGTGGTAATCAACATTATCATAATAATTAACTTCTAATAAAACAGAATAATTTGAAGCTTATAAACAATCCAGGTGGCAGGATTTCTAATCTGCTAATATTGTATTCATATATTACAAGCAACAGTTGTGCAGTGCAGGTCAGAGAAGGAGACAGTAATCATATTTACACATTAATGATAGAAGTGTAATGATATAGGAGTGTGCTTGATACAATACTGTGAGAATATGTGGGTTTTGCGCCACTTTTAGGAATATTCCAGCTACATATTGGCAAGGCAGCATTAGAAATTGGCACGTGTCCCATAGTCCTTTGCAAACTGTCCAATAGTTAGGCTATCATAAGAACTAGAAGCAAAGTGTTAACAGGGTATGAGATTACCCGATACCCGCTACGCCTTGGTAGCCCTGTTCGTACTTTTCCATAAAAAGTAAAAAAATTAAATTATAAAAAACTTTTAGTTATTTAATCATGTTAATCACATAATAAACTTCGAAACAGTTTTTCAAAAGTTCCCTCCACTATCAAATTTGTCAAATTAGTCAACCCCAAATATTACCATATAAATATTGTCCTTTAAAAAAATATATATAGAGAAGGTAAGGTAAAAATAACATGAGAATCTGTGGTTCCTGAGTTACCTCCCTTGGCCATGGCCGAACCATCTCTTGAACACACAAGGTCAGACATACTGGACCCAAACGAAGGCAAATTTCTTGGCTATGAAATTTCTGAATTTCACTTAATGATAAAACCACAAACCCAAATCAAAGTCTGACTACAATTGAAAACAATTGATCGTGTAACCATGGTAACCCAGTGTTCGAAATTAAGCATGAAAGTCAAAGGGTCCTTGAGAGCACGACCTTCTGACCCCTATCCCTGTTAGGGGTCACAATACTTATATTTCCATCAAATCACGAGGAAACTTATTGTCTAAACATATTTCAAAGCAGGTTCCAAAACCTAGCTGTAAACACATGTTCGTTGCTGTTATTTTTTCAAATGAACTTGAAAAGCTAATTACAACACATTTTGCAATATTTGAATGACAAAACAGCTGGCGTGGGGGTCATTAAAAACGCGTAGTAATTATTTATTTTAGCAAGTGTATCATCTTGTATTGATACAGAAAACAATGTATCGTGTATCGTATTGTTGCATGAAGACTCAAGATGCACCAGTGCACCGAGGTATCGCCTCACCCCTACCGCCTCAATCTTATTAAAATCAGATCTTAGTTCTCGCTTCCGCTAAACAAAGATCAGAGGACATCCCATTACGGGTCATGTCAGAACGACCTTTCATCCGACCAATCAGAGCGTGGCTTACCAGATCATGAAAGAGACAGTCGGAATGTGATTTCTAATCATGCAGCCTCGAAAACGTTGAAACAGGGTATTCCGAACGATAGTTACAGGCTTAACGACTGAATCCATACAATCTAGACCATAAATTAGCCATTGTATTGTTCAGGTTTCAAATTTTTAAGCGAGAATTTGTCAAAATATGTTTCGAAGCGTAGTCACCAATTTGAAATTAGTGCCGTAAAGCACAAGAAAGCTGCCTTCTGATTGGCTAATGTCGACTTCTTGTCAGTAATTCCACTGGTCGGTCAGAGTTTTCAAAAGGTCGGTCTGACGTGACCCGTAATGGGATGTCCTCAGATCTTTGTTTAGCGGCATCGAGAACTAAGATCTGATTTTAATGAGATTGCTACCGCCTCGTCCTATATTCAGTTAGTAAAGGACCTCGAGGATCCCTTGTCACCCTTTATTTCAAACACTGGTAAATAATGATAATGATTATGATTTAAACAAATTGCCTCCTGTCAATACTAGACCAGGATATCAACGTACATTTAAATAAACAATCAATCAAAAAATAACTACATCGGTCACAACCATATATAACTTCAGTAACCATGGTAACAACACCAGAAAAATCAAGAATACGTAACTCAAATATTCAGTGAATATTCAAAAGCTGCAGCAAAACAGACCTTAAACAAAACTTGTACACTAAAATAAACATTGAATGACAGTTCTAACATAAAATATGTATTCCTGGGACTTTATTGAAAGCTGACCTATAACATGGATTACAGATAATTTGTATTTGTAATAGTTTACATGTATTTACTTGGGCTTTTCTGTTCGAGTCCGAGGGACACTTGGGAATACCTTTGTGGTGGTCCCCACTAGGACTGGAACAGGTAACTCAGTTACTCGGGTCGGGTGGGTACTGAGTAGGACCCGGGTACCCACAGGACTACCCGGATCCGTGATTAGTCACGTGATATATTGTTTAATGACAAAAATTATCTAGAACTCTATGGTTACACTACAAGTCGCTAATGTTTGCATTTCTTTTTGATTATGCACCTATTCCTTCTGATTTTTCATATGGTTGAATAAAGATATAACTTAATTCAGCTTCAGTGTATGAATGACCAGATTGTTGAATACATGTATCTAAATACATTTTGCCATGGCTATGCCAAAATTGTTCCTAATCGGACATTTTGAGACATCTCCTGAGACCAACAGTGAGTACCCGGGTAGGGTCGGGTAATAAGGTGGTGGTGGAGTGGGGGTACCCGGGTAGTAAATTTGGACTCGTCCCAGCCCTAGTCCCTACGACCACGACGACCACATGGCAACTTTGCTGTAATAAAATCATTATTAACTTTATACTCTTTACCACCATGTACCATGTTTACCCAGCGCTAGTTAATAATGAAAATAAATGAAAATTCACGTCCCTGTTTGATATGTAATTCAACATGTTCAATGACTCAATGAAGAAAATCGTGAATGAACAGTGTGAACTTTGATTATATTTGTCACGAGAATAGAAATGTCAGTTAAAAATAATACTGTATTCGCTGTACTAAGTGATCTGCTGCAATAAGCGCCCCCTGACAAATCTCATTAAAATCAGATCTTAGTTCTCGCTACCTCTAAACAAAGATCAGAGGTCATCCCATTACGGGTCACGTTAGAACGACCTTTCATCCGACCAATCAGAGCATCGCTTACCAGATCATGAAAGTGACAGTCAGAATGTGATTTCTAATCATGCAACCTCGAAAACTTTAACACGGGTATTCCAAACAATAGTTACTGGTTTAACGACTGAATCCTTACATTCTAGACCATATATTTTCCATTCCAGATAGTTCTTTTGTTCGGGTTTCAAATTTTTAATCGAGAATTTGTCAAAATATGTTTCGAAGCGTAGTTGCCAATTTGAAATTAGTGCTGTAAAGCACGAGAAAGCTGCCTTCTGATTGGCTAATGTCGACTTCTTGTCAGTCTTTCCATTGGTCGCTCAAGGTCGGTCTGACGTGACCCGTAATGGGATGTCCTCAGATCTTTGTTTAGCGATAGCGAGAACTAAGATCTGATTTTAATGAGATTGGCCCCCTGACCAACTTCCAGACCAATCTGTAAGTATTTCTATAAGCGCCCCTTACTAAGAGGAAGACCGAAAATTTACATGATATTTGGTCTTTTCTTGTATATTTTACAGGTGTTCTACTGGAAACTGCAGCGCAGAAGGGGCATATTATTGCCAACTAACTATTATGAAAAAAGTTTTAGTTCATCAACCTTTCAACAAATTTAACTTGTGTTTGGTTTGAATAAGCGGCTCCCTTTTGTCAATGTTCTAAGCACAATGATGTATCTGGGGAACCCTTAAATCATTATTTTTAACATTATGCCAAATTCTCACTCACACACTCAATGCTACGATTCACCTAGTAACTGCCAGTCAGAGGAAATTTCCACTCATCCAGGGGCTACCTGTAACATGGGGAAGATCACTGTGAGAGCCCTAACGGTCCCTGCTGTATTCTGTGATTCCAAGTTTGTGGAGTATTTGTCAGGAATGCACACTCAGTGACGAAATTTACATATACATGCCGAAAATCACATTTTGTGCAGAACTTGTGCAGAATTTTGCATTTATTTGCCCCACAATTCATCAAACACACTGCAGAAGTCATCAAACACTGCAGAATTCATCAACATGATCAAACACAATGCAGAATTCATCAAACACACTGCAGAATTTTAATGTGCGAATCGAAAGCTGCATTGTTGTAAACATGTAAACAGATATTGATTTCGTTCTAAAGTTTAGTTGACGTTTGTATTAATGCTTACCGAAAGTGCATGTCTGTATTTTGACACAAGTGGATTCCAGATTCACTTCAATAAGCCATTTTGGCCGTGAATAAGTCAATCATAACAACGTTTTCCATGAGTCAAAATGGTGAAAAACTATGAAATTCACAAAAAACTTAAAAGTTTGCAGAATTTTGGGCAGAATTATCAAATTTTACAGGATTTACCAAAATTGACAGCAGAATTTTGACTTTTGGTCGCGGCATACAACAGGGACTGATATGTAAAATGGGGAAGATCGCTGTAAGTGCCCACTGATGTTATAAGTCCATGACAACAGAGGCTAGACCAAAACAGTCGCAACATAACAACTCACATTCAAACAGCTCGGAAATATTCGTCACGCACATCAACAAGTGATCATGTAGATAAAAATATCTATGGTACAATTCTTCTAAAAGCGGCCATTTCCTACAGGAAGCAGTCGTCACCAGCGCACTTGCTGCTTGTATTCGTCCAGGAGGCTCCAGCGTTTGATGGTCTCGTAACCGAGGATGATGAAGAAGGAGAACATCACCGACTGCACCAGGCGAGCCGTCAAACCCTTCGTGACAATCCAGAAACGTTCCTCTTGCCACAATATCTTCACAGTGTCGGATAAATTGGTTCCATCAACCTGCATGGTGAAAGACAGGCAGGGATTGAAATGTTTTGTTTACAAGTGAGTGAGTACATTCTTATGCCACTTTTAGCAATATTCCAGCAATATAGCAAAAATGGGCTTCACACATTGTATCCATGTCGGGAATCGAACCTGGGTCGTCTGCATGACGAGCAAACGCTTTAACTGCTAGGCTACCCGACCGCCCCTTCTTTACAAGTGTGCCAGGCACTCTTTACGATCTTCTTTTTGATTGGTTGCTTATTTCAAGCTCACCATGAGATTAATTCCATGCAAAGTTGGCAGTGTTTGAATAATTTTAACCCCCTACAAGACATATGGGCAGGTGACCCATTACTGTTGCCTGCCCATCTTAAAAGTTACCTGCCCGCATTCAGACATAATAAATATTGAAAAAATCTCGAAAAATAAGACAAATCTTGCTTCAGTTGAAATAACAGAAACAATTGATTGAGAATCTTCAAGGAGTTATAATAAAACTGAATATGTAAAAATCTTATAAATATCTGCCAAACAGTTGGGCAGGTGGAGGAAAATTTTATGCAGCCCGACAGAAAAGTCACCAGCCACGGGCAGTGGGGCAGGTAGTTATTTTGGGCACTAAACGTTGCTGATAAGAGAGATGAAGATGGGGACAATATTTCCGAAGCAGAGCAATGGGGTGACCACAGTGAATGTGCCACCTAATCCTGTTAGTCACCTATTATGACAAGCATAGCCGCCGTTTACGGCAAGTATGGGTTGCTGAAGACCTATTCTACCCCTGATCTTCATGGTCAAAGCAGCGTTAAACTCAACTCACTCACTCACTGTCATTGTCTCCAGGCCTTTGATTATTGCTTACAAATAGTGACCTCACCATGGACGTATGAATTCATGGATGATGCAGGAATGAATTGCATACAAACTCATGAAGTACAGATGCTGAAAACCAACTAACAATCGCCTACCTGAATAACTGTCATAGAAAAACCACCACAGGGCGCTGTTTGGCGCAAACACCGTCAGTGACACAAAATAACCCTTGTAGAATCCGAGCTGTTTTATTAAACAGACTGGTGAATAACACCCTGGATTACCAAGGTGTGGTCTTACCCTCAGAGAGACAGATAGCTTACTTATGTCTTACCTTGGGCATACATACAATATATATAACATGATATAAATGTATACTCATGCCCCTGGTACAGAGACAATCTACACAATAAATACAGATAATACATAAAAAGTGTATTTGCACATAGACTAAGCTTGTAAGATGAGACGAAGCATATCATAAATGAAGCATGTATGCATAGTATTTACACACATAAAGAAACAGGTTTAAACATAAACTCTTTTCATGAGTAGAATATCCTTGCAGGTTTTGGCAGAGTAAAATAACAGTGATGAATAGCTGAAAATGTGACATAACTTTTGATCATTAAATAAATCTGCAAATCCGATAACTATTTCATTGAAACATTGTAAAATGGGTTAAGTAAAATTGGTAAATGTAAGACGGTGAAAAAGAACATGGATTTCATCCCAACTACATTTGGGCAGACGAAACAATATCTCTTACTGGGTAGTATATTTTCATTTATCATCCAAAACTGGCTCCCACAGGAGATATCGCTTGGGTGAGATCAAGTGTTACCTATACTGTAGACTTAAACTGCAATGAAATTGCATCACAATGCTTTGCAGACCATTGGGACATCATTGTTACCATGACGTCACAATCAAACTTTAAACACTATAGTCTCTGCTACTGAAGTGTGTTGGTTTCTTTTTACACTTAAGACACTGCTAATTACTGCGACAAACTAAAAAAGTTGGGAGAATGATGTTGGATGATAAATGAAATCTCCCCCTCATGTCTTTTGATATCAAATATATCAAGCCTCAGAGTTTTTCCACTTTTATCAACTCATGTTACCATATTGGATATCAAAAGCGCCTTGGGTATATGTACCTGCATCCGTGCTCTGATGAGGTCGAGGGGGTTGGTGATGACGGCGGCGGAGATGCCGCTGAGGGGCCCAGACACCACCTGTAGCACTAGTCTGGGGATGTAGGCAGGGGCAATACTGGCAAGCATGTCTGCAGCACAACATCAGTAACCAAACCATCAGTATCAACATATCATAGACAAAATAACCACACACAAAAATACGCAAAAAATGTCCCCAAGATTCCTTATTGGTAACCTATGTGAGTTCAAATCCCAGTTCACCCAGATCATGTTTCTATTTTTTGTCTGCACCATTCCCATGCTTGTTGCTTTCACAAAAGTGGTAAACATCTGAGACCTGCATTACCACGATCACTTCAGGATTTTCTCCCACATTAAGCATACACACTGTGAAGTAACTGGACTACAGTTCAGTGTGGCGTTGGTTTGTTTTGTTTGTTTGTTGTTTAATGCCACACTCAATAATATTCCAGCTACATGACTGAAAATAATTATGTCCGGACCATACAAACCAGTTATTGCATTTACCAAGTCAGCGAGCCTAACCACCTAATCCTGTTAGTCACCTATTATGACAAGCATAGCCGCCGTTTACGGCAAGTATGGGTTGCTGAAGACCTATTCTACCCCTGATCTTCATGGTCAAAGCAGTGTTAAACTCAACTCACTCACTCACTGTCATTGTCACCAGGCCTTTGATTGTTGCTTACAAATAGTGACCTCACCATTGACGTATGAATTCATGGATGATGCAGGAATGAATTGCATACAAACTCATGAAGTACAGATGCTGAAAACCAACTAACAATCGCCTACCTGAATAACTGTCATAGAAAAACCACCACAGGGCGCTGTTTGGCGCAAACACCGTCAGTGACACAAAATAACCCTTGTAGAATCCGAGCAGCCCATCTCGCCTGTACACTTCTCGTATAATTGCTGTTACTGCACCAAACCGTCTCTTTCTCGCCTCGTCTGATATTTCTAATTTTTGTAAACTTGACAACTTCTTTTGCACCTTTTCACTGGACGTGTTGGAAGTCCCTGTTTTACGCCGCCCCATCAACATGAGGTGCTGGGTGATTATATCTAGGGGAACAGACAAGGTCTGTCCTACAATGGAGGCACTTCCTCCTGCTATAAAAGACCTCGTTTTGCTGTTTGTTACGGACGTGTTTTCCATGAGGTAGTGACGGGTACCCTCGTACGTTGAGATGTATGCCATTGACGGAAACAGCTGCAAACAGCTTACGAAGAAGCCTCGGTACAATCCAGACACGCCCTCATTTCGTCCTATTTTCACAAAAGCGTCAAAAGTGCCCTTGTACACTGTATGACCCTTTTGAATTTGAAGTCTTGTTTTAACCAGCGTCACTGGGTATAAGAGGGTCCGGATTGTCATTCCACTGGCAAACGTCAAAGGATAATACTTCCTCTTATCCATCATATTCAATTCAATGACCTGAAGGTCATCAACCTCGAAACTCATCTTGCTGCCTTGTTTGGTGAATTTTTATCCCAAATATTGTATCAAATATGTCAGGTTTGGGTTAATGCAGAGATACTTCCAGCCAGGTATGGTGATGGTGGTGACCATGGATTCTTTCTGAGTCTTTTGGAACCATAACCTCTGATGACATCTTCTACCAAGAAAACAAATTCACATTAACATAACAAAACTAACACTGTAGAAACAGAAGCAAAGCTAGACTTTTTTGCAACCATGGTAACCATCACTGTGGGAACCACTTTGCAGTGTAATATGTGCAAAGATATTGCAATCAAGGCTGATTTTAGTAACAAAGATTTAAATTTCACCAGTTGCAGGTTGACAGGAAAAGATAGTTGCACCTGACAAAACCAGGTTGCACCTGGGGATGAAACGATACATCGGTACACCATGAGTTTTCATGAGACGATACGATACACAATACATTTTTTCTGTATCTATACAAGATGATACACTTGCTGAACTACATTACTTACTACTCCTTTAATGACACCTGGCATTTTTGTCAGTAAGATACCGCAAAATGTGTTGATATTAGCGATAGAAGTTCAGTACTACAAGGGGCAGTCGGGTAGCCCAGTCGTTAAAGCGTTCGCTCGTCACGCCGAAGACCCGGGTTCGATTCCCGACATGGGTACAATGTGTGAAGCCCATTTCTGGTGTCCCCCGTCGTGATATTGCTGGAATGTTGCTAAAAGCGGTGTAAAAGCAAACTCACTCTATCACTACTAAAATAGCTGCTTTGAACACGTGTCTACAGCTGATTAGCGCTTCAGTAAGCTGGGCCCGGTAAACTGCATTGTCACCTTTTTATTAAATCAATCCTCTCTTAAATCTATCGAAATGTCAGATTTGGAATGTGACACAGCAAAATATTGTTTTCGGATTAACAACTGGGTGTTTGTTTGTACGTGCTTAAAATTTCGCTTACAGAGCAATTCATTTTGTGTCTTGAGTGAAAGAGTGAAGAACTTGTAAATCATGTGACACACAATGATGTGACATTTGTGAATCGAAATGTCCGATGAAATAACCACTGCACCTTGGTCGGCTCTGACTGGGGTCACCTGATCAACAGAATACCATAACAGCTGAATACTAACCCGCTTCGGAAATGTCAATTAATTTGTCATTCTCCTCATCCAAAAGACGACTGGTTTAGATATCGTCTTCCCTAACACAAGTGCCACAAAATACAACATCGGCTATACAACTACACACTGCAAAAACAGATTCTTGCCAATCACCGTTTGACTTTCTCCTTCGGGTAATCGAACCGGAAGCTGAAATAAAAGGAACAACAGCTCCGAGGTAAATACTAGTTTAAAAATAGATTCAATTTGCTGAACGTTTTGATCAATGTTACCTTTTCTTTGACCTTCCTACCTAAAGAGATCACTCATTAAATCACTAGACGTTTCAAAACCAAGTATTCTTTTATTTAATACGTTGAGTTCTCAGATTGAAAATGTAAGCTGGTTCCCGGCTCCCTATGCGCGTCGTCAACTTGCGCCAAGCAAGGAGTTCCTATATTGTGTTATTAGAGACGGGGCCCAGCTTGATAGAAAATGTTTTCCGAAAACGGCGTTCTTTGAATAAGGGCATAACCTTGTTCGAGCGATTGGTAGTAATGCAAAATTCTCTTTGTGTAAATTTATTGGAGATATTTTAGAAATTTATTTATTATTTCCTAAAACAGGAGCGACGTTTCGGTGTAGGTTCCAGCACTGTTATAAGCAAGTAATCTTCACTATTGACTGTCATACAGATCCTGAAACAAATGTATCCATGCAAGTCTATGATGTTCAGCAAGTCTAGATTACTGCAGTATCAGACTGTCATAGAGATCCTGAAACAAATATATCCAATACAGCCTATGCAAGTCTATAATGTTTGGCATGTCCAGATTACTGCAGTATCAGGGTCTCCGAAGAAATGAAGAAAGTATCTGGGCTCCCATTTATTATATTTTATAACTATAAATTGACAACTGTTTTCCCTGTAAAATATGTTCATTTCAGAGACTAGATGTTAGTCTAGCTTTACTGGTACAGACTAACAATGAGAAGAATAGTACAGGATAGTGTTTATGCAGTTGAGTGGACCGGGGTATGGTTACACTGGAGAAGCCAGTTGTTGACACAAAACAGGTAAAATAAGGTAAAAAATGTCTTAACAGGTGAGGCAAGTAATATAAACAATTTTAAAAGGACGACGGCTGATTGGAATCTTGGATGAGTTGATGGTAAGTAGGAGGTGTGTATAAGGGCGTCCTTACTTAATTTTTTGTTTCTCATTTCTAGGAGTTTACTAGAGGGGGCTGGCGGTCGGAAATCTAAAAAAAAAATATGGAAAAAATAAAAGGAGGTTCCTTTTTGCAGAATACCTATTCAAGGTGGTAAAAACTAACAATGTGTTGTTTGCTTGTTTGGTTTTTGTTGTTTAACGCCTCACTCAGCAATATACCAGCATTATGACGGCGGTCTGTAAAATAATCGAGTCTGGACCAGACAATCCAGTGATTTATATCATGAGCATCGATCCACGCAACTGGGATCGATAACATACATCAACCAAGTCAGCGAGACTGACCACCCGATCCCGTAAGTCGCCTCTTACGACTATGTGAAACCAATGGGCTAACATATACTGAACAACAAAAGTTCCTGTGACATTGAATATGATTTAATGCAAAGTTATGTTTTTTACGAAATCTGAAACAATTACGGTTTGCAACAGATAAAAGACTCCTGTAAGTGTTCAAATGGTTAAATTTGCCATACTGACTTAAGAAAATGCGTGATTTCATAAAAAAAAACCCCATGAACATGCCAAAATGTCAATTTACAAATCAATAGCGTGTGTGTCCCCCTCTGGTTGCGATGCAAGCAACACATCTTCGTCTCATGGAATAGAACAGGCGTCGCACAAAGTCCTGTGGGATATCTGTCCATATCTGCTTGAGCATGTTTCGAAGTTCCCGGAGTGCCTGTGGAACACGTGGTTGACGTCGAAGGCGCCGATCCATCTCATCCCACATGAGCTCGATAGGTGAGAGATCAGGGGAGCTAGCCGGCCAGGGGATGACATTCACGTTGTTTTGTTGACGAGAATCCTGAACATGTCGAGCAATATGAGGCCGGGCGTTGTCATGTTAAAAGGTAATGCCTGGGCCATGACGAAGCAAAAACGGTAGAACAACAGGGCCGATGATCTCGTCGCGGTAGCGCTGTCCATTGAGATTTCCCTCTTGCTGTAATCCCACCCCATACCATAACGCTGCCGCCCCCGAACCGATCTTCTTCCGTGACACAATGATTGAAGTAACGTTCACCTCGACGTCGGTACACTCGAATCCGTCTATCGCTGTGGCTGAGGTGAAAACGAGACTCGTCAGTGAATAGAACTTGTCCCCACTGCATGGCCGTCCACCGTAGACGCTTTCTGCACCACTGTAGACGTGCTTGACGGCGGTTTCCTGTCAAAATGGGACGTCTGGCGGGTCTTCAGGCGACAATCCCATCACATCTGAGGCGACGACGTACGGTTTGTGAAGATATTCGTCGAAGGCCAAGGATGCTTCTTGCAGTCACTGTTACTGGCTGGAATCGATTTCGTAGGTGTGTTGTTCGAATCCAGTTGTCTTGTCGATTATTGGTTACGCGTGGCCTGCCACTCCGAGGATGGTCTCTGACTGCATTCGTCTGTTGCCAACGTTGTCATAAACAGCAAATGGTGTTTCTGTGGACGTTAAATTGTCTTGCAACATCACGTTGACTCGATCCTGCTTCAAGCATACCAATGGCTGGCATACGCTCATTTTCGGACAGGCGTGGCATTTCGTTATGTTGAATAATTGAATAATTTGTTGTTTTTCTGATTGGTTGATGTCAGCACGAGGCTAAACATTGCATATGGAATCCCGTTAACGCACATGTTTTGTACCCATTCTTGGGTAGTGAAATGCATGGGGCTTGCATAAAAGTCAACTTTTGCATGGAATGCATGCTTTTCTGTAGCAGTTGCGTTTTTGTGACTTTATTCCATACATGTACTACAATATTGAAAACCAAACTTTACTTTTTTGAAAAATACACTAAAATATTGGTGTCACAGAAACTTTTATTGTTGAGTATATAATCTCAGTATTTGACAATATATAAACGAATGTCTGGTCGACCATTGAGAGCAAGGTAAACCCGAAAAACAAAAAGTTAAATGCATTGTGGAAAAGGATCTAAAAAGAAAACACATATAGATAAGAAAGAAACCAACACATAAAGACATATTGTAATTGAAAACTAACTGTTACCAATCACCTATTTCAAAGTCACAAATGATACATAACTTGATCACGAGATGCTAGGGAGCAACACTACTTGATTAGTTTGTTTGTTTGTTTGTTTAACGCAGCACTCAGCAATATTCCAGCTATATGACGGCGGTCTGTAAATAATCGAGACCGGACGAGATAATCCAGTGACTGATATCATGAGCATCGATCCATGCAATAGGGATACGATGACATGCATCAACCAAGTCAGCGAGTCAGTTAGTCACCTTTTACGGCAAGCATGGGTTGTTGAAGACCTATTCTAGCCCGGATCTTCACGGGGCCATCACCACAAGACCACATGACCACTGGTTGGAAGGTAGCACTACTATACAACCCCGTTGCTAGGGAGCGTCACTCCGTAACTACGAGTTGCCAGGGAGCATCTCTATATGACGACACGTTGCTAGGGAGCATCACTCGATGACCCCGTTGCTACCCTACCGTGGGGGGACGTTAACGCAACAACGCCGACGCGAGAGACTGAGATGGGTCAGGAGGGTACGCCATTAGCAAGTGCGGCACTGGGGACAAGTTATACTCTCTTATGAAAGGAGGATATGTCCGTTTTACAGCTGGATGTCACCAACGTGAAGGTGAACGCATAGCGCCGACCTGTGTCCAGGACGCTCAAGCGCATGGAGGAGGTGGTGTCACGGTCGGGGGAAGAATCTATGGGGACTTGAAAACAAGGTTGGTAATCACCCCAGGCCATTTCAACAACATCCAGACCGTATACTCTTCCAACAAGACAGGGGCGGTCGGGTAGCCTAGTGGTTAAAGCGTTCGCTCGTCATGCCGAAGACCCGGGTTCGATTCCCGACATGGGTACAATGTGTGAAGCCCATTTCTGATGTCCCCCGCCGTGATATTGCTGGAATATTGCTAAAAGCGGCGTGAAACCATACTCACTCGCTCCAACAAAACAACGCTAGACCCCATACGGCAAGGCAGACGCATGAACATTTCTGTTTCTGCAATCGTGTGATCCTGAAATGAAGCCCAAGGACCCTGTAGGGATCATCTTGAAAGGCAAACCAGAAGGCGACCAATACCACCGGTCAATCATCCAGGACATCGGGCGATCTCTTCTTTAGGAATGGTAAAGGATTCCGACGTTATCCGACGTGTTGTGGCGTGCATTAATCCAGTGTTTACTGATTTTCATGCAGAGACATAACATGCAGTCGTTGGACAGGTGTTTTAACAGTCACACTGTGGATCAGATTTTGACCCCCATTTGTATTTTGGTCACTGTTACTGGAAACATTTCTGCTTTGTTTGGATGTAATGTTTTTCACAACATGCCAACCGCCAATCTCATATATATATCTGGGGCGGTCGGGTAGTGGTCAAAGCGTTAGCTCGTCACGCCGAAGACCCGGGTTCTATTCCCGACATGCATGGTACAATGTGTGAAGCCCATTTCTGGTGTCCCCCGCCCTGACATTGCTGGAATATTGCTAAAGCGGCGTATGACCACACTCACTTACTCACTCATATATTCCTGAGACCTTATGAACAAATCTCAAATATCCGACGAAACAGATTCCATTGTGCGAAAAAGGTAATTCACCGGTGAAAATTATATGAATGGATTGATGACACCAGGGGTTAATGACAAGGGTTATCCTGACCTGCTCTACCGGCAGCACCCGCCACTCACTCATTTTGTCAAGAAGCGAATAGACAGATTACAATAGCGACAAAACCTTTTCCATAATCATACGAATTCTCCGCTTAAAGCAGAATCCATTGTACGATTCCAAATAGATCATAAGCCAGTGTTTATGAACCACTATCAGATAGTGATGATGCACGATTTTTGTGAAAATGTTAGCGTATCCTGCAATCCCCTTCTCTTTTGTGGCACTCGTCACAAACACATGCAAAGGCAGGTCGATTCATATGAAGTAACACGAGAATATATGGCACAAATAAAAAT